TTTGGGTTGTTTTTCAGGTAAGGAGACTATGCTCGTGGATGCTCATCATCCTTAGAGGTTTATGAGCAATTTGGAACATTTTTGTATATTGTCATGCAAGTGTTTAACATGCTTTACTTTTGAAGTTATATTTTTGCATACCATGGATGTATGGTATTTTTTAGGCTAATTTATCTACCTTGATGCGTAATGATACTTAAGTCTTTAATTTAGACATTATAAGCACGTAAGTAAAGAGGCCAAGGGCCAAGCATGTTTACTTTAACACTTGTGTTCATTTGGTACTAACTTTTGCTATAAAAATGTACTTTTACCAATTTTGGAGGTTTGGTGTATGAAAATCTTGTAATGAACATGTATGAGGCTAGGAGCCATTGTTTTACATTAAAATATGCATATGAAACTTGTTGACATGTTCACATACTCAAATCTCATTGAAAATCAATTTTAAACATTCATTTTGAACCAATTCATGAGGGGATTCAAAGTATGGGTTGAACCTTAACACCTTAGGCATATAGCAGGCCTTACAGTAGCATTTCGAGGTGTTTCGGTCGACTAAAACTCTATTTCGGTCGACCGATGGCAATTGGAATCATCAATGCACCGTAAAAACTCATTTCCAATAGCCATTTCTACTGTTCAGGGCCATTTCGGTCGACCGATGCTTCATTTCGGTCTACCGAACCAACCAACACTTAAAAACATGTTTTCAAAAAAAATTCTATCCAATTCGGTCGACTGAAACTCTATTTCGGTCAACCAAAATAGCTTGAACTCGCACACAGCTTCCAATTAGGTTTCAGCACTGATGATCCAACTTCAAAAGGCCATAACTTCTTCGTTTCTAATCCAAATTGAGTGATTCTTGAGCCTAAACTCAAGGATTTTGATTCAGATTTCCAATGGTACCTATGCAATTCTCAAATTTCAATCATAGTGGGAGTTATTCATGTTTTAGTGAGGTAGTGTTAGTTTTTGCTTAAACTGGGAAAGGGCGGGATTCTTGTCCAAAGTTCTTAGAACCTCTTGGAATGTTATAAAGTGATTAGTTTAGGTTGTTTTCACCTTGTTTGACTTGTTTAGAGTTAATTTTCTCCTTTTATTTGTGAATTGACTGATTTGCCCTTCATTGTCAGATTTTGCCCGTTTTAACTCTAGTTTCCTCTTTTGCTCTCTTTAACTTTTGTGACCTCATGGAATGTCACATTGATGTCTTAAAGATGGTTATCTAAAAAGACTATGGTTTCATCTTTTGCTTCCGCATTTCGGATCTGTTATCGGGTCAACTTTCGGGTCATCACTGACGCACCGGGTTGAAAAACTTGGGCTGTCACACATTGAGTGTAATGCTAGGGATTCAGGTACAGAATAATCCAATTTACTTTAATAATACAATCCGTTAGGCCAGCGAATGGTAGTTTCTCGTGCCAATATAAGTGTCACAAGAAAGAAAGCTTCTTTTCAGTCAGCGTGCTTATTATATTGTACTAGTATATGGGACTTAATGACCTTGCACGGCTCAGTTCTAGAGTCAACACTTTGGTTTAGTTTGGGGCTGGGCGTGCTTCTTTTCATACTCTGGGCTTTCTAGCCTGTGGATTCTGCTGGCCCAGTTTAGACAGTGATAGTAGTAAGAATAAATAAGAAAGATTAACAGGCTAGTGGCTTAGCGATACTAAGCCCCTACTTCCCAAAGGGAGGTCAAGGGTTCAAGTTTTAGTGAAGGCATACGTGTGTAAGTATCAACTAAGGAAAAAAAAATAGATAAAAAAGAGTAGAGCACCAGTTAGGAAGATCCATTCATCGTAATTGCACTGATCTTCCTATCTGAGAAGGGCTGGAAAGAAAGAATGGTGATCGTTAGCAACAACTGAAAAGTGCCCTTGTCTGACACATTCCCTGTCCCCAAACAATTTCAAATAATCACCCCTTCTTCTGGTTGTGCGGTTTATGAAGTTTAACTTATCCGTTACATTTACACATTTCTTGATTTTAATACAGCTTCATTTCCTTCTTCAGGTGCTTTGGAGAGGATACTTGAAGGATAAATTGTGGAAGGATCTGCCTTCATATTCGTCTCTCTTTACTTCTTAAAACCTCAAAAAGCTTGCCGAGGACACTCTAAGCATAATTGACATGGACCTTTCCATTCTCGACTTTGGAGTGACTACTTTCACTGAATAAGAGATTCAACAGATGGAAGCCCTAAAGAGGAAAGCTGCTGAGGATACCCCTACTGATGGGGCTAAAGATGCAACGACTGAAGCTGCTCAAAAAGAAGATTCATTTCCTTTGAAATGAGTTTGGAAAACTCAAAACTCCAAGGACAAATGCGTGGAAGGTGGCACAAATTCTAGTGCCATTAATCTGGAAAAGGGAGCTCATTGCAAAGGAGGCAATGAAGATGAAGTTCTCCTTATTTGTGCTCCAGAAATAGGGGACACCTGGGTCCTATCTTTTACTAGGTCTGACGGCTCTGCTCTATACACAGGGGAATCCGTTATAAATGACCCTTAGCTACCTTAACTTTGGCCAGGAACATGTGGCTAGCTGCCCAAGGATGAGCTTCTTATGAGGGATACACCTCAAAATGACCTGACACTAGTTCGAGCTATTTCTATACTTCCTCTGGTGTTTTTCTTCGGCCAAATCTTTTTACTCTAGATTAATTTTAATTATTTTGCTGCAAAATGTTTTTCATGCCATGGCTCTGGTGAAACTTGTGATATAATGGCATCTAAAATAGCTTCACCACAAACTATTAAATATTTTGAGACGATAATAGGAAACCGAAGTGGGCTTTTGTAATGGCTGGGCGTTGCCCATTTACTCAAAAGCTCAAACTGTTGGGTAGTGTTGCATACCTACTTATTTATACACACTTCAACCCCTATCCAAATTCGAAGTAAGACAAGTCCCACTTGTAATATTCTCCCCCATCCGAACTCACGCAACGCCATCGTTGCGGTCAAGCCACTATGCCTACCCGGGGCCAAACTCTGATGCTTGGCGTGACACCGAATTAAGAATTGGATCTAACTCTGATACTAACTGTAACGAGTGGGCGCTTACCCATTTACCTAAAAATTTAAATTGTTGAATAGTGTTGCATATCCACCTATTTATACATACTTCAACACCGATTCAGGTCCAATTAACAGCTTTACTAAATAGGAAACCGGACAATACATTACCCATGGTAACAAAGTAGTCAAACCCGCAAGACTCAGAATACAAAAATATTAAAAACAACCCAATTCCATCTTTGGATTACTCTCTTATCCGGGATTCATTTTTCCATTTATGTCCCTGTCAAATATTCACAACCAACCTGTACTTGATGTATCTATATATTTTCTTTTTTTCCCCCTCATTTCTGTTGCACATTCTTGTCACAGGGACTGGCAAAGAGACAAGCTCATTTTAATATGGGTTTGTTTGACCAGTTCTAGTGTGGCCAAAGTGACCCATGTTTTGGTTTCAATTTATATCAGCTTTCACTCTTCAATTCAAGTCTAGTATAATATGCATCTAGAATGCTGCAATACAGGTCCTTGTCATGTTCTGTTTCAGCCTAAACCGCGTTTTCTGGGCACCAGACTTTTTCATCTTGACCTAATACTTTAAATAGGAGTAAAAAAAACGTTGATTGGAAGGGGAAAAAAAAAATGACCATGTTGTAATCCTCTTTCTGCCTGGGTCATAATGCAATCCCGTTATGACTCGAATCATATGTTTTGTGTAAGGATGCACAAAAAATCGGTAGGACCAAAAACTCCAATCATAGGTTTTGTAGGGATCTTTCATTCAAATTCTAATCTTTATTTTAGTCACAAAGGATATACCTGGGATAGGGTTTGAGAGTTCTCTAAAAAGCACGGATACAAGATACTGATACAACCCGATGTGAGTAGAGCATTGTGGCCAATCTTAAAAAAATAATAATAAATAAATAAGATAGAATACGACAATGATACAGTAATAAAAAATAAAATATATTTAAATTTTTATATATATAATAAATTAATTTTTGGTCAATTTTTTTTTTTTTAAATATTATGGATCTAAATACAATCATTAATATGTTCTAAATATAGAAACAATTAAATATAACATAGAAATATATCTCAATAGTTATATTTTATAAATAAATAAATAAAAACGATATATAACTCAATATTCTTTTCAAATAAATTTTGAACTTTTTTTAACAATTATACTAATATATTATTATTATTGTAAAATGTACATTTTAATATCCAAAACTAATTAAAATTGTGTTTTGAATTATCAATACACATTAGAAATAAAAAAAATATTTAAAAATTATAGATTCATTTAAAAATTATTTGACACGTATTCGCGAGTATGTAAAGAGTGTCAGTCATGTAGAAGTATCCGAGCTCTCTAAATTCCCATGGTGAAAGCGCTCTACAGAGTTTTACCGTAAATTGGATTATAAGTCGAATAATTTTGTTTTATGTTACTTGTGTTTGTGCTTGGCTGTTTATGGCTGTATTTGTCACAACAGCCAATTCCTAATTCTCCCTTGTCATGACCATTGATAGGCCGGGTTAGGAGGGCCGGTCTAGGGTTAATATATATTATAATACATTCACAATCGCAACATAATCCAAATTGTATTATCAATATTAATTTTTCTCTACTGGGGTCCTTAAAATCTATTATTTTCCTAATTTATCAACATTATTGATTATATAAACCAGGTCTAAGTCAAGAATTAATGTCCTATTATCAAAAATATTTTTAAATTTTAACCCGACAGAACGGTCCAAAATTAGAAGAAAAGTTTAACCAGTCTTGTATTAAAATCAGGCACAAATCCTTGATGTTTGCCAAACAAGTCAAACAAGATACACATCAACATTCTCCAATTTATAATCCTTAAACGCGTTTATGGTGAAATCCCAGCAATTAGAGGTCTTAAATATCATTCTCTGAACCCTCAAACTCTCATCTCCATTTCTCAAATTTTCCCGGGAAAGTAAGCAATCATCATGAATTGGGTTCTCCTCAGTTTGTTCACACACTGCTTTCTCACTTCATTCGTCAATGCTCAGCAAGAATATTCAGCAAATTCAGTGCTGGATTGCAACAACAAAGATGAAACAAAGCCCTCTCCGGCTTTCCTTTACGCATGCAACGGCCGAGAAACCTCTTGCCTGGCGTTTCTGATCTTCAAATCTCAACCTCCTTACGATTCAGTTCCCACCATTTCAGCTCTCACATCCTCAAACCCCTTGGAGCTTGCTCGGGCCAACAACGTCGCAAGGCTCACAGTTTTCCCAACAAACAAGGAGGTCATTGTTCCTGTGAGTTGCTTGTGTTCGGGTCAGTACTATCAAGCCAACACCACTTTTCTCATTCTGAACGACATTGAAACCTATTTCACAGTAGCAAATAACACATACCAGGGATTATCAACCTGTGATTCCCTCAAGCGTGCGAATTCTCAGGATGAGAACACAATGCAGCGTGGCCTTCGGTTGCAAGTGCCTCTTCGATGTGCTTGTCCTACTCGGAATCAAACTGCAAAGGGTACAAAGTATCTACTGACTTACTCAGTTAGCTGGAGTGACTATGTTCATGGTCTAGGGGAGAGGTTTAATGTTACTGCAAAGAGTATACTTGATGCTAATGGTTTTTCAGAGGAAGATCCGACTATTTTTCCTTTCACAACAATTCTGATTCCTCTCCCAACCGAACCACTAAGTTCACAAACCATAGTTCACACCCTTGAGCCAGAAATCTTACCTCCACCTACTTCTAAGGACAGGCACATCAGACACAGAAGAAAACTTTACGTGGGCATTGGATCTGCAGCAGGTGGTTCTCTGCTTGTTATCGGTGCCATTCTGTTAGCCATCTTCTTGTTTCGGAAGAAGAGAACAGAAGGCACTCCTGGGAGGAACGAAGGGAAGAGAAAACCTGTATTGCCCAAAGACCTCCTTTCTGAAATTGCTAGCTTTGATCGAGTCCTCAAAGTGTTTAAATTCAAGGAACTAGAGAAGGCTACAGGAAATTTCAGTTTCAGGAGTAGGATAAAGGGTTCTGTGTACCGTGGGGTGTTCAGCAAGGAAATCCTAGCAATTAAGAGAATGAGTATAGACGTATCCATGGAAGTGAACATGCTGAGCAAGATCAACCACTTCAACCTGATAAAGCTTCATGGTGTCTGCAAAGATCGTGGCTATTTCTACCTCGTTTTTGAGTACATGAGAAATGGTTCTCTAAGGGAATGGCTTCAGAAGAAAAGCTCCAACGAGACAGGAGGCTGGAGTCAGAGGATTCAGATTGCCCTGGATGTTGCTAATGGGCTTCACTATCTTCACAACTTCACCAAACCAGCCTATGTGCACAAGGACATCAAGAGCAGCAATGTTCTACTAGATGGCAGTCTAAGAGCTAAGATTGCAAATTTCAGTCTTGCAAGAACAACAGTGAAGGGATCAAACAATGCTCCCCAGACAACACGAGTAATGGGGACAAGAGGTTACATGGCACCTGATTATATAGAAACGGGGTCAGCAACTCCTAAGATTGATGTCTATGCTTTTGGAGTTGTGATGCTCGAGTTGATCACAGGAAAAGATGCTGTTATTATACAGGAAGGCCAGGAAGTGCTACTTTCAGCAGCAATAGCTTCCATCGTGGAGGGTGAAAATGCAGAAACCGAGCTTGGTTGCTTTGTTGATCCCTGTCTTGGAGAAGATGATGGGATAGAACATGCATTGCAGGTGACAAGATTAAGCTTAACCTGCTTGAGAAGAGATCCAACAAGCAGACCAAGCATGGGTGAGATAGTGTCAACACTGTTGAAAGTTTATGTTGATATACAAAAATCAGAATCATTGTGTTGAATTTTCTGGAGTGTAGATTGATGAAGAGAGTAAGGAGTGGCCCCCTTTTATTTATATTGACTCTACTACGTTTCAAATTAGTTAAAAAGTTACAAGCTATTCATGTATCATATATCTATAAATCTATCAAGCAAGTAAATGATCCATATAGCCAAAGATTTAGATATTGATTGCTTTTGCTGCTCAAAATCTGCAGTTATTATCTGGACTCATGGCGTGAAAGCAATCAAGGGATTGCTCATATTGTCAGTATAAGCAAATGAAAATGACTGGTCTACAAGCTATTCATGCATTATATTTCTGTAAATCTATCAAGCAAGTAAATGAGTCATATAGCCAAATATTATGAACTAGGAAAAAATATATATATAGCCAAAGTTTATGATATTGATTGCTTTTGCTGCCCAAAACCAGAAGTTATTATCAGGACTTGTGGCATGAAATTAATCTAGGAATTACTCATATAATCAGTATAACCAAATGAAAATGACTGGTTTATAACTTACTGTAGGTTCAACTAGCAGTTATACGTGTTTCAAATACTTCAAAGCCAGATTTCTAGGAATCTGTTAATTCTCAGAAGACAAATGAGGCGAAGCAGATGCAAAATATTTCTGTAACCTTTCTCTCACCGAGGGTTCTTGGTGTCAACAAATTGCAAGGGCTAAAGTGCTCAGAGGACCTTCAAGGCTTCAAGAGAATGAATATTCAGCAAGTTTATACCCACCCATCTTAACCTCCCTCTTTATGTTCCTCTGTTTATCTGTGCTTCTCTTCTTTTAAGTGCTCCCTTCAACAGGTTCTTCATGCGGACGTTTAAAAGTTCCCTTCGATAAAATCTGCAACTCCTTTAATTCAAAATGGAGTGTTAGACTCTTCGAATAAACCAATGGGTTGTAGAAACAATTGATCAGGAGCAAAATCCTAGCTTTATTTCACGGGACAAGCATTGTAAATTATATTTGCTAGGTTTTAGCTCTCAGTTGTTAAATGACAGGCACCAACGAGGTAAGAGATCTGGTTAGGATTCAGGATCTGGGTGACTAACCACCAAAGCCAGAAGAAATTGCATATGCAAAGCTTATTAGATTGAGAGAGACAGTGACAACAAAAAATAAAATAAAAAAATGATTTTATTAATATTGAGAAGAGAAAAGTACAGGAAGGGACTGCATCAAAAAGGCATATAAATCAGAGCTTTCCCCGGAACTACTCAATTAAGATATAATTTCTATAGCGTGGCCTAGGGCTCTGATATGAAGAGAGCAAACTAGGAAAAAGAAATCAGAAACTCCACTCAAATTCCAGGCTCAATGCTCAATATTTCAATAAGGAAAGGTCCCTGTCAGCCGAATGTGGTCCAGTGTCCTACGAAGACCATATTTAAGCACTGCCATGTTACCAGCTCTGAACCCATGTCCATACACTGGTGACATATCTGATTCAATCTGGTGTTTAAAGAACTCCCCAAGCTTCCTATCAAATGGAGATCTAGCTCCATGCTTTGATGATGTCATAGCAGAAGAGGACGAGGTTGACGCAGCATTGCTTCCTGACATGGACATAATCTGGGATTCTAACCACATGTGAGCCAGCACCTGACAAATACCTTCTTCAACATCTTGACTGAGAGTTCGATAACCTTTCAAACAAATAGCAAATATATCAGCATCTTGAGATTTTTCAAAAAATCTGATAAATTGCAGTCATTGAGGAAATGAAAGAATCCCATCTTTCATGCTTAAAAAAACTTCATTGAAATCCTAAAGTGACTTTAATTTAGTGATATACATAATATAATAAATAAATAAAAAACAAAACCAAGAAATTAAATGATACGATTTCATCTCATCTGGTTTAGAAAACATCCCATTAACAAGATATATGATATGCCAGAGAACGGAGGAGCACCTCTAAGCCGCAACCATGCATGCATCATCTCATGAGCTAGGATCGATCCAGTTAGCAACCTGCATGAGAGATTTTCTATCATACATTGTAACTGTGAGGTCCAAATATAACATCTGCAAGAAAAAATGAAATATAAAGAGAATGTGAACAAGCATTTCATTTACGCCTGAGGGGCCAACATCAATTCTCTAGATTTGTCACATATTGCCAAATGAGAAACTTCAGCTCATGAATTAATTCCAATAATCGCACTCGTTCAAGTGAACTTATATCTCATCACCCTCCCCCCGCTCCATATCTGAGTTGTTTTGGGTGTATACATAAAAATTTAAACCTTCTCTCACAAACTCATAAGGCAGGATAGATCCAGTCAGCGCATGCAAGTTTTTCAATTGTACATTGACAAAGTGAGGTAAAAAAATCTAACAAATTTGCCAAAAAAAAAAAAAAAAAAATGAAATGCTAAAGGGGAAGGAAACAAACCTGTCAGCTGAGGCTAAGAAGCCGATATCAATCCTCTAGATTTGTCAGTTCACATATTGCTATAAGAGACACTTTAGCTCATTAATCAATCCAATTAGGACAATGCTTGCCTTAGGCCATATAAGAAGGAACTTCCTTCTTATATGAGACCTAAACCAATTGGAACTTCACACCTATTTAAAACTTTAAAATTTTAAAAATGGGTCACTGTGTCTCTTTAACCGGTCATTCAAGGGGAAAGGTAGGTTAATAAAAGAAAAAAAAATAAGGAATTTTTTTTCCTCAACCTAGCTTCTCTCTCCACCGTCACCGTAACTTCTCTCTCCCCCTATTTATCAAAAATAATAATAATAACTTCTTTCTTCCCCCACCAAATCTCCATTGTTGCCCACCACTTTCTCCGTTCTTAAACCCTAATATTCATCATTTTCTTCCGCCAGCCAACCTCCACCACCTCCACTACTTATCCCCTCCCCCACCACCAAAACTCCATTGTGTGCGATTCATGCTAAGAGGGAACCGTCATGCCCAAGGATGTTCAGCTGGCAAGGAGAATTTGAGGCAATAGCTTAGAGCAAGGTCTTGGGTTGTATTGGGTTATGGGCAGTTTGTGTTTTGTACTTGGGTTAGGGTTTGTTAGTGGCATTAAAGCGTAAATTAATCTAATTTTAGTATTTGAATTTCATTCAATGAAAAATTGCAATTTTATTTTGTTCACTGTCTGTTATTTTGATTTAATTGCTTGATGGGTGAATGATAATTAGAAGAGAGAGAATCTACAGTTTGAGATGCAAAGAGAAGAAATACCTTTTGTTGAAAGATATAAAAAGTTGAAGAGAGAAATTAAACATGAAGAACACAAGAATATAACATGGTTCAGCCACTAGGGCTTACATCCACGACACACAAAGCCGAAAGAGCTACATCTCTTTAATTTCATTCTCTCTTAATTTTATTTACAATAACCACCTCTATTTATAGGTGAATTGGGGAAGACTTGTAGCTACAATAAAGGATTTACACAAAAAGTCAAATACAAATATGACAACAACTTGTTGCCCAAGTATAGCAACTTAACATTCTGTCAAAGAGTGCTTTAAGGCCTTAAATCACTCATATAATTATTCTCCAACACCTTTCTTTTTCTTTCTCTTTTTAAACTACCTTTCTTAGATGACCCGTAAAAGAGACCCAATAACTCATGTTTAAGTCTTTACAAGTTTTAAATACGTGTCGAGTCCCTATTGGTCCAGGTCTCATATAAGAAGGAAATTCCTTCTTATATGGCCAAAGGCAAGCATTGTCCTTTCCAATTATATCTCTTTCAAGTTAATTTTAGATCTCCTCACCCTTCCTAGTTCATTAATTATTGTTTATTTCTTATTATTATTAGGGCGAATTGCACTAAACCATCCTTGACTTTCATCATTTGGGAAAAACCCTCTTGATAAATTTGTTGGCATAAGACCCCCTCAACTAACGAAAAACTCATGAGGGGGTTATGGAACTAAATGGCTGTTAACGGAAAGTGAAAATTACTAAAATACGAATGTAGTATGCACGGCGTCGTTTTGGTGTATATACTAAAAGTGCCCTATTTGGCGTCGTCTTTTTTTTATCCCTTTAGCCTCTGGCTAGGGTGTTTCCAACTTTTTCTTGCAACAAATACAAATCTATATATAGAACCGTTAAACTGCTACACATTGTTGCATTGTAGAAGATTTAGAGAGAGGTTGGATTATATTTATCTATTATTTCTTCTTCTGCAACCAATCTTTATATATATTTATAAATAATGTTCTACCACTGCAGCAAACACTAGAGAGAGGGAGGCATTGTAGAGAGAGAGTAAGGTAGAGAGTGGAGAGGAGAGCAGAGAGAAGTCACAGAGCAGATATCGATATATATGGTGCAGGGGCTACTGAGTATCATTCAGTATCAATCCAACACTAAAGCTAGGTAAGCTCAACACTATGCCTGTGTTCTTTACACAGGCAGTTCCAAGCCCGGATAAAGGAGGAGGGTCGCACCAGGTAGCTTGACAACCGGCGTAAAAATTTTCCATGACCAATATGAACATGAATCATATGGAAACATAGGATCCATGTAGCCGACCCCAAATAGTTGGGAAAAGGCTTTCTTGTCATTGTTGTTGCTGCATATACATATAATTGCTAAAAAAAATTCTAATGATTTTGTGTATGAATAGAACTTTGCTTGCTAATCTTTAATTAATACTGTCCGTAACTAACATTTACTCATCCCATAAGTTTTTAACTAAGTTTTTCAGTAAATATTTGTATTAATGTGTGTATATATATATATATAGTCCTAATCTCTTGCTCAGTGAGCAAGAGAATTTATTCACACCACATTCCAAACCCACTAGTTTTCTTTCCTTGTAGTAGAAAATCATTCTCTGCCATTTTATTTTCCAAATTTAAGATTACCAATACCACTCATTTTATTAACTAAGGCAATTAGCAAAATAAAAAACACCCAATTATCAAACAAAGAAATTGGAAATCAATCCCCAATTATCTATGCAGAAGGCAAAAGGTGCTTCACCCCTTTATTGTATTGTAATTCAAATCGTATAACTAACTGTTCACTCATGCTTAAGAAAGTCTCTCCAAAGGCCAAGTTTGCCCACCAAATCTGAACTGAACCTTGCCGCTCACCAAACAGGAATTGAGAAAGGAAGGTGAGGAATGAATGGAAGACTGGGCAAAAGGCCGGCGAAAAGAGGAGAGGTTGCCATGGATGCTGAAAGAAATTCAAATTATAAATGATTCAGGCAACATCGGATCTCAGGGAAGGTTGATACATGGAAGTCAAAGTGAAATTCACTTGAAACGGGCTAAATCCACATTTATACCTGAATAGATAAGACTCGGGAACAGATTAGAATAGGGAAAGTGCTAGTAGTTTTCTCCCAAACAAAAGCTTGCCTGATGAGGGTGAGGCTGCTCCATCCACAGTTATACCTGCCATCTTTCCTCTGCTTAGGTGACTGGACGCATATGTGAAAGCGCATTGAATTTACCACATGCTATCTTCTTTTATCCATCTTTTACAAATCCAATCCAACCATATAAATTTTTTGTTCGCAATCACCAATAAATGTTAATATATCTAAAAACGCATTACAAAGATTTACATTATTTTTTTTCTTGTGCAATCCTCAACATATCTCTGAACACATATAAAACGTGAATAAAAACAAAAATTAATTTTTCAGAAAGAACGAAAATAAAAAGATAATTACCAAATTTCTTGAGAGTGTGAAACGTGAAGAATGTAAAGAATTTTTGGGTGTTGATTTCTAATTTCTTTGTTTGATAATAGGATTTTTTAATTTTTTTTTTTAGTAATTGCCTTAATTAATACAATGAGTGGTATTGGTAATCTTAGATTTAGAAACTAAAATAGACAGAGAGTGGTTTTCTAATACAAGGAAAGAAAACTAGTGGGTTTGGAATGCGACCGTTAAAAAACGGCACATCTACAAAGTGTGGATAAATTCTCTTGCTCACCGATGAGCAAGAGATCAGGACTCTATATGTGTGTGTGTGTGTGTGTGTGTGTATGTATATATATAGTTGGAATCTTTTGTGTTTCCATACATGAAATTTATATTGAACTTGTTAACTACCCCCACTCCAAATTTCAAAAGCTTAAGCTGTTAGAGAGGGTGTAAATTTGAGAATGCACCCACATGTGACCTCCTTTTGGTCCAACACATGTTTCAAATTTAATTGTGAGGGTGACGATGAAGTTTGAACAGAGATATGAATGGCAATGGAGCAGGTTTAGGGCGGGGGAATCCTTTCCCATCCCCGTCCTCGCCCCCATTTAAGTTTCCATGTTTCGTCCCCCACCCGAAACCATTTAGCAAACCTCCCTCCCACCTATCCCCGCCCCCTTTTAAGCTCCCCCGCCACGCACCCACCCACCCCACCCCACCCCATTTAAACTCCCCCGCCACGCACCCACCCACCCCACCCCACCCCATTTAAACTCCCACTCAATTTTTTTTCCTAATCTTCCCATCTCACTCAAATTTTATAAAGTCATATTTAAAAAATATAAATCAACTAAACATTCTTTCAAACCAAATAACAATCACATTGGTAAGTTTGAAAGTTTCCAACATAATAAAGTAAACTATGCATATTACATTCTTCCTATGATTTGAGTAATGGGAAGATTAGAGTTTTTAAGGCATACAGACTATATATATATAAAGGGTAAAATAGTAAATTTTAAAACAAACGAGGTGGGGCAGAGTGACCTTCCCCCGTCCCCGCCGCCATGCGGGTTATCACTCCTATACCGTCTCCCCGCCCAAAACCCTTAGGGTCTGTTTAGTAATACTTTTACATTCTGTTTTTTACTGTCAATTTCTAAAATCCCAAAGTAAAAGTACAAATTATGTTTATTAATATAATTTTACTTTTCACATTTTAAAAAGTACTTTCAGATTTAATGAAGGAACCAGAAAGTGAGAAAAGTGTGCTTTCTATAATTTCTGCACTATTCAAGGAAATTACATTCTACACTATAGCTCCCACAT